TTTCCCCCTTGAGTTTCCATGCATGAGAGTGAGTTCTACTCACTCTACTCGCAATTTCTCTTCTTCTCTCCACTTGGGTGCAAATCGCAATTTGGTATCTTGCATTTCCCAGCATTTTTGTGTTGTGTGGTGCTTGATTAGTCTTAATCTTCACTCCCATGTGAACCGCCGCTTTCTCCCTTGAGTTGCCATGCATGAGAGTGAGTTTCACTCACTCTACTCTCAATTTCTCTCCTTCTCTCCACTTGGGTGCAAATCGCAATCTGATTTCTTGCATTTCCCAGCATTTTGGTGGGGAGTAGTGCTTGATTCCTCAATCCTCACTCCCATGTGAAGCGCCMCCCCCCCCCCCCTGTGCTTTAATCGAAGTGCTGCATGCTTTTCACCTCCCCCCCCTGTGTTCTATTCGAACGCGGTAATTGGGGAAGTTGGTAGGCTGCTGATTTTCAACTGTTTAAGCTCTGCTGTGTTTTTTTTTTTTACTGAACAGCTGTAGGACTGTGACTGCTGCAGAGATCTGGCCAGCTCGTACTGCCGCCATAAGAAAAAGGGTTGGTGATCAACCAACAGTACAAGACCACCCGGAGTACGGAAAAACGGGTCAATGTGGCCTGAGGCACGACAGTGAGAACCCTGCCAGACCGAAGATATGAGGGTTGAGACTTCTCAGACCTCATATCCTAGGCATAAACAGATGGCCTGCAGACCCAGCAGGCCATCGGAGTTTATTTTACTGAAAAATCAGAAAACGGACTTCCTCAAACTGTTCACCTCGAGACCCGGACGGCGCCCGAAATAGGCAACTTGACCCAAGCGGCGCCAGAATCAAACGAAACTTTGCAGAGGCCTTCCCTGTGATACAGTGAGGGGGCCCACCAAGTTTGGACTGATTCTGAGATCGTTTGGGGTAGGAAACACAGGCCTCTGTATTCCGATTTTTCATACTTAGCAAAAAAACAGCAAAAACGGCAAGTTGTCGTAATCTGCAAATCTGCAAATTCTGCGATTTTTCTGTCAACTGTGTCTGCTGCAAAGTCTGAGTTTTCTGCATATTAGCTGTAGGATGAAGTGTTGTAGACTGTGTTTTGCCTCCCGGGGTTAAGGAGTATCTCGGGCAACGAACCCGGACACTTGGGTTAGGGGACGACACGGAGCCAAGTCACCTCACACTTTCTTCACCTCCCACCTTCTTCCTCCACCACCTTCTTCACCCATCCACCATAGCCACCGGTCACCTTGCACCTTCTTCCTCCACCATCTCCTTCACCCATCCACCATAGCCAACCACCTTGCACCTTCTTCCTCCACCATAGCCGGTCACCTTGCACCTTCTTCCTCCTCCACCTCCATCACCCATCCACCATAGCCAACCACCTTGCACCGTCTTCCTCCACCTCCATCACCCATCCCCCATAGCCAACCACCTTGCACCTTCTTCCTCCACCATCTCCTTCACCCATCCACCATAGCCAACCACCTTCCACCTTCTTCCTCCTCCACCTCCA